AAAATCATTGATAAAATCTTGTGTAGACTGACCTTGGACTCAACATGCAGGCAATGTGTTGAAGAGCAGTGCAAAGGAGGCAATGGTGGTGAGGCACCATATTACCTAGTGAAATCATTGGTGCTGAAATCACTAAGGAATGGAATTTGACCACAGAACTGACATTTTCTTAACAAAGACTCCATTTTTGCTATTTAAAAAGTAAATCAATGTAACAGAAAACTGCAACGCTCTCTGGTAACTTTTTAAAAATCAAACTTTAAATTTGATTGAAAAAATTGGATAGTTTGCAATTGAAAATATTTGACCTACACTTAAGGCAACTGATTTAATTTTGTGTAAAATTCTACATAATAAAGGATGGCATTTTTTTTAAATGTTCAACTATATTGATATACATTTTGATCAGATCTACTTCTGATGTGATATTTGTGTGTGGGTGGTTTTTTGTTTTATTTTGCTCAACAAAAAAATCCTGGGTGGGTGGGGCCCCGCCAAAAAGGTTTGAATTGGGCCCCGCACTTCCTAAAGCCGGCACTGTTGGCAATTATTTTTGCCAGGAAACCACTTCATGAATTTTTGTACGTGGTTCTGGGCTGGCTCAAGGCCCTCCAGAAGGCGTGGGGCATTAGGTGGAAGAGGTGGAGCTGGGGCTACAGAGAGAGAGAGAGAGAGAGAGAGAGAGAGAGAGATGAGTACAACAGACACTGTGTGTGAGAGACAGAAATCTGTGACAAAGACTGTGTGTGGCACAGAGACTGAGAAAGTATGTGTGGCACAGAGACAGCGTGGCACAGACTCTGTGTGCCAGGGACACAGAGTTTCTGTGCTGGCTGCTGCTGGGTAAGTTTCTGAGAGAAGCCATGCTCTGTCTCTTTAAGACAGGGAAAGCTGTTCTGCTCTATTGTCTGCCCCCTCCCCTGCTCTGCAGAGATGAGGTATGGGCGGGGGGGAAGAGAGAGACAGAGAGCAAGCACAGACCACCATGGATGCACACTGAAATTTTAGAAACAGTGCACTGCCTCTTAATACAGGCATTCCTCGGAGTCACTTACCATCCATGCTTCAGATTGAAGCACTTTCGCTGTGTGTCTTCCTCTCCCTGACCCCTGGTCTGCAGAGATGGAGTCCAGGGGAAAGGGGACACCCTGACTTCAGCACTCCCCTCTGCCCTCCACGCACACTCTCCCCCCCCCGCACAACTAGCAGGAGAATCATGTGCACAGCTCAGTTGCAGGCTGCAGCCAGGTGGGGAAGGGGCAGCTGAACACACGCTGCCAGCTCTAAGTATGCACACTTTGCTAATCAGCTGAACGGGCCAGTCCTGCGGGCAGGATTTTGCCCACCCCGATATATATTGTGCCACTAAACACCCCACATTCACATCTTACACATCACTGTAATAATCTTCATACAAAATATGCCTTTTGAAAACTAATAACTCACAGATCAATCGTTTTCTTCTGTGATGTATGTACATGATTGTTATTAAATGTTATGAACATATGACCCAATTATAACGGAAGTGTATAATTTAGGTATGTTTTCAACAAAGGAATATGTGTTTACCTCAATTTACATGTAAATAATAAACAGGTTCATCAAGACAGCTAGAGGAGATGGCAGGGAACAAAACATTTTGCATTTTGGCAAACACAAGTGGGAAAACTCCTCCCACAGAAACTCTTTCTTCAGCAGACTCCATGTTGTTTTTGGAACTGCTTGAATAAACTTTACTCCGAGGAAGTACTTCCAGAAGAATCTATGTAAAAAGTGCACTGATTTATATAACAAAGGGCTTAACTACAAGCAATAAGAAACTGATTCAAGTGATGGTATACAATATTACTGTATTATAAGAGTGAATAAAATCTTTTCTGAAGATAATGACACACTGGGGATGAATAGCACTGTAAAAATTATTTATTAAAACAATTTAAGGAATCATGGATATTCATTGACAAAAGGCTGTACAGTCTACCCAGACAGAAGGGTATGTCACAACTGTCTACTTGTCTCATATATGTTAACTATACAGGCAAAGGAAACCCTGTTTACATAAAAACCAAACAATGGGATGGGAAGTCCACAGAAAAGGAAGAATAACTTGAGGTCAGCCTGACTCTTGAAGCAAGTTCATTGAACTTTGGGAGACTGAAGCAAGGACAGAAGCCAACTCTGACACCTCTCACAGGGCAGTCTTAAGAAGCTAGAGTTCTTGTAAGGTGACAAAGATGGGTTGTTCAAGAGGGGTTTGAAGTCTTTGGAACCAAATATAGATGACTAAACTGCTTAGGTAAAGATCTTTCACCTACAAGACAAGTAAAGTCAGCATCTTGTACTATTGAAGAAGGTCCTGATTAAGAAGAAAATCAGCAATGTCTTGGGGAAAAAAGTGACCAGTGAGAGAAGCCATAATAAACAAAGCCTAGATTAAATTATAGACCTTTAGAGGTATATTTTGTTTTGCTTTACTTGTAACTTTCTATTTTCTTACCATATATTTTGTTAATGAATTTATTGTTACCATAAACCAGGGGTAGGGAACCTTTTTTGGGTTGGGAGCTGCTGACCCACAGAAAAATCAGTCAGGGGCCACACAGTACCTCACTATCCTCATTGAGGTGGCCCCTGATGGAAAAGGAGACATTTCCTTCACGCACCAGAACATTGGGGGAGGGGTGCTCAGGTTAGTAGATTGTGTGTGTTCCAGACCCTCGTAGGGATGGCAGGGGGGGCTGGAGTACCAGCACAGGCTCCTCAATGCTGGGGGCAGGCCTGAGGGCTGGATCCAGGCAAGCCAGGAGCCACATCCAGCCCCTTGGCCTTAGGTTCCCCACCCCTGCCTTAAACCAACTCAGCGTTGTAAGCATGTATTTACCCCCGATTAAGGTAATAAGCAGCAGTGTGTTCTGTATCTTCAAAGGAACAAATTAACCACATTATCTCCTTGAATTGTCCAGGAGAGGGCTGGACATTGCAGAGCTCAAGGTTCTGGAATAATGTGGGACAGAGTGTGCTCAGATCACCCTGAAAATAGTAACCAAGATTGATGAAAACGAGAGTGGAGTTGTGGGGCTGCAGACAGACTACTGCAGTAAAACATGCTGAACCAGACTGTCTAGTGCACAAACACTCAGAGTGTGACCTTCATGCTGCCTGTGAGCAGCTGAGGTTGGTAGCTACACCAGCAAAGCACGATGAGACACACAAGGTTACAGGGCAGAAGGTGGCATAACCCCTTATTCTTCTGGATTCAATCCACTACACTGTGACAATAGTGTATATATATCACAAAAAATAAATAAAATTTGCTCAATTATCATTAGTCTTCAATAAAGAGGTAATTTAGCATTCCATGAGGTTTTTGCTTTTTAATTTTTTCCTCAATTAAAAGACATATATCATTTGTCATTGCAGACTGTTCTTTAATTGTTTTTCATGGAAGCCCGGGTAAAGATAATAAATAAAAGAATGAAATATGGTGCCTTCAGATGAGGAATGATTAACGTTTTTACAGTTTTTTCCATGAATAAACTTGGCTTCTAATGCAAATTGTATCAAATTCTTTGACAGAGCTTAAAAGGGGAGGGAGCGTTTAATGGCTAGAACGGTGGACTAGGAGTCAAAATTTCTGGATCCTATTCCTGACTGTCACTGAGTTATTGAGCAATGTGACGAGTTTTATGTGAGCGCCCCCTCTCGCCCAAGCAGGGGGGTTCAGCGGACCCACCATCAGTTTAGTTTAGTATTATGGGGTCCTCTCCCCTTGGGGATGGTCCCTCCCAGGGGCGGCGTTTATCTGCCCTGAGTTCCGGAGTTGGCCAACTCCAGCATTCACGGGTGTACGAGTGAGGGCGAAAGAGCGGCGGGGAAGGGGGACCCGGGCCCACCCTCTCTACTGGGTCCCAGCCCGGGCCCTAAGTGCAGGGTTTAACGCACTGCTGCACGGCAGATGGGGTTTAGTCCCGAAACGTGTCTACCCATGGGCGCCAGAAGCACTCTGATCTGGGCTGCTTCCTCTCCCCCTCCCTGATCACCGAGTCTGTCAGCACGATTTGGGGGCTTACACTATCGCTGTTCCCTTCCAGTGTTCTCCGGTGTTCCAGGGGTCCGACTGTCCCCTCCTGATTCTCCAGCGCAGGGGAATAGCCATCCTCCTAGAGGTCAGTCGGCGGCTCCTGTTCCCTGAGACACCCCTCCACTTCTGTCCCGGCTGCTTTTCTGCCCCGTCTCCCCGGCGTGCCCACTCCCAACGTCGTTGGGCTGTATGCTGGGAGCCCCGCACTGAGGGTTTCCCGGGGTTGGCTGGGAGGGCTTGGCCTCTCCTCCTCCACAACAGGGCCACACACATCCCGCCGCACTCAGCTCCGGCAAGCTGGGCGTCAGGGCTGCCAGGACTTGACGCGACACCGTACTGACTTCTGGGCCGGAGGAGGGACGAGATCTCCCCCGGATCAGTGCGGGCCTCACTAGGGCCGTCACAAGCAACTATTGACAGAAAATCTCTGTAACTTAGTTTTTCATCTATAAATGGGTTCCAGTCATCTGCCACAGAAAGGTACTGTGAGGGTAAATTCATATTTGGTACAGAGCTTAGATAGACTGGTGAAAGGTTCTTTTTGAGTGTAGATATGATTGTTCAACAAGGCAGTTGTAGTAAAAGGAGATATTTAACACTTCTTCTGAACTAGTGGAATTCCCTGTGAGTTCCAGAACTAACTGCTCCAAGAAACAGTCATTAATGGATCCCAGATATTTTTATCTCTGCGCCCCATCTTGAGGTAACATGGACATGTTCATGCTGTACAAACAGACATCATCTCTTTCACTGACATTTTTTTCCATTGTCTACAAACATTAATATTTGTACTAATATTTTCAAGCTGACAAAACAAAAAATATGTAAGAAAAGACATATAATTCAAAAATACAAACTGTCAAATTTTGTCACCATCATATATGAAAATTTTTAAATTAATAGTTACTTGGTTACTCACTATTATTGAAGAGTGACGGATATCTAATGCACAAATGTCATCCACAGGATGGATCTGTAATCTAATAAATTTGTTGAAGGCCTCCTCTTTGATTCCAAGTTCATGAAGTCCATGAAGCACTTTTCCTTCCAGTTTCAGAGTTTCCAAAATACTTTGTATTAAAACAAAATACAAGTTATACAATATATGTCTTTATATACAGGAACACACATTCCAAAAGTCTGACAAAAATCTGGATAATTTTAGTATTTAAAAAAATGGACTGCCATAATAGAGGCCCAGATTAAATGTATGCCCATTTAAGGGGGTTGAGGGTATGAGTTCTGGGAGGGAAGGTGCTGGAGAGGGATGGAGACGCAGAGTCTGGGCATGAGGGGTTTGGGAGGGCACTTACCTGGCTCTGTGCCTGCCACCACTCCCAGTTCCCAGGCACCACAGCCCCCCATTGTCCTCACTGGCCATGATTCCAGCCAATGGGAACAGTGGGGAAAACCTCCAGGCAAGCTGTTTCCTGCACTGACATTCCCCTAGCTAGGGGGAGAGAGAGCAGCAGTGCACAGAAATATTTCCTTCCTGCGCCAGCCAGATCTGACCCACGAGGCTTGCCCCCCCTCTTCCCTACAGTAGAAAGTTGGTGATCGTGTTTCAACATCATGGGGGGAGGGCAGGGTCGGAGCATCAGTGTAGGCTACCCACTGTGGGGAGCAAGCCCTGAGCCACTGGCCAACCTGCAAGATGATCACGAACCATTAGTGGTCCATGGACCACACTTTGAGAACCACTGCTCTACAAGAATTTGTATTGTAATACTGGTGATAAAGTTGACAACAAATTAACAAACACAGGAGATCAGCACTCCCTCTAAGCTGTGTGGCAGCCCAGCCTCTCAGCTGCTTAATGAGCTCCACCCAGCCAGGGGCTCAGGACTTGGAGCTGCCTGGCTGGAAAGGGGCACTTCTCTCACAATGACAACAGCAGCTCCCTTCTGAGGACAGAGCAGCAACTCTCCTTCAGCCCGTAAGGACATGTCCCCTCCCTACTGGCTGGGAGAGACTCACTGCTCTGTCCTCAGCTACTGCTGCTGTTCCTGGGGGAAAAGTGCCTTTACCTGTGCTAGGCAGCTCTGTGTGCGAGTCCTGAGCCCCTGGTTGGGCAGGGCTCATTAAGCAGCTGTGGGGCTGTGCTACCGCACAGCTTAGAGAGAACACTGCAGCAGACTAATACTGTGAACACAAAAGAACTGTTTTCTACAAACGGTAAAACTTATACATTCAATAATGAATTTCTTACCTAAATGGATCATGAATGTCCAGGTCAATAGGAAGGCCATTTAGAAATAAACGTGCTTCTCCAGGCTGAATTCTGAGTTTTTCATGGAAATGCTTGATAGGGAAAACAGAAAAATTGCTAGTTTTCTAAGATGAATGTCAATAATAAAACAATCACATATTTAGAACTTAAAGTAAATCCTACCATAATACCTGCAAATTTTGTGGAATACATGGAAAATCTAATCTCCTTCATTTTTAAAAAATTCAGCAGAATTTTGGCAGAAAAGATAGACAATGTCCTATTATAAACATAATTTTACATATTGTGAATTCTTATTACAAATGAAAAAAACTATATAAACAATATTATTTATACTCATTTTATAATATACACTTGTTAACATTATTATTATCTCTTGTTAGAAAATTGATACTTTTCAGCTATATGGGAAAGTGGCACTTGATTTTTCAAAAACTATCCATACCCTTTTCTCTCCACACAAAGTCAAACAAACCTTTATTGCATATTCTAAATTGCTACCTAGAAGTAGTATATAAACACTGAAGACAACTTCTTCAGAAATAAGCTTCTATATTATTAAATGCAAAAACCCTGAGTTTTGCAACATTTAAGAGACAGGTCAAACTTAAAATCCCACTAGTGTATAAAGAACTGTGACTTTCTAATATTACACATAACCTGTGAAATAACTAAAATTGTAAAAAGTTAAAGAAATACTATTTTCTGTGTTTGCCCCTGATTTGTCTCCTTTATGAATTTGACAGAACTTGCTATGCAGTTGCTGTTCTGTTAATATTTCCTGTACTTCTGTCTCAGACATACATCCCTAGATCCGTCAAAGGATGTTTAACAGCAGCAGCAGAAGCAGCTGCTCTGAGTTTTGTGTGATATTGATCTCTCTTTTTCAGGAAAATTGCATAAAAAGAGACCAAGAGGAACAAGTAAGCAACTGGCAGAGAATATTTCTTCACTTCAGGTATGTCTACACTTCATTCCTCTCAAGAGAAAAGAATTCAAATGCAGACACCCAAAACTGCAAATTAAGCGGGGATTTAAATATCCCGCACTTCATTTGCATAATCGCATTATGGCGCTATTTCAAAATAGCGTTATTTCGAGAGAGAAAATGGGGTTATTTCGAGATAAAACCCTTCCTTTGAAATACCGCTTACTCCCCAGGTCAGCCACAGAAACAGGTTGCCAGGACCGAGGACTGCTGACACTCCTGGAAGGGAGGAAAATGGAGATCTGGGCACGGTTGGAGGGCAGAGTCCTTAGGAGGACACCACTGTCATAAGAACATAAAAATGGCCATACTGAGTCAGACCAAAGGTCCACCTAACCTAGTATCCTGTCTGCAGACAGTGGCCAGTGCCAGATGCCTCAGAAGGAAGGAATAAAACTGGGAATCATCAAGCAATTCCTCTCCTGGTATCCATTCCCTGCCTCTGATACAGGTTAGGGACACCCAGGGGCGGCCTAAAGCGGGCTGCGGCAGCTAGCACCCCATGCGGTATGCGCGATCGGAACCCCCGCCTGCACGGCCGTCAATGGAGTGACATCATCATTGGGCGCCCCGGGCGCCCCGTGATGTCATCATCGGGCACTGTTGATGGCGACGCCCTAGGCAACAGCCAATTCGGCCTACAGTCACAGGCTGCCCCTGGGGACACCAAATAGTCATTGATGGACCTAACCTCCATGAAGTTACCTAGTTCTTTCTTGAACCCTGCAGGAAAACTGGCAACTCCTCCACCAAATAGGTTCATAAAAGAACTGATTTTGGGATAATGAATGAAGGAGCATTATGAAACATTTAGAAATAAGGGCACTCTCAACTGGTCACACTTTGAAAGCATAAGCAAAAAAAGGAGAAATCCACTTTTTTGAACAACTGAATGGGAACTTTTGGACGACTGAATGTTATGCATAAGAATTTTTGCAGTACATGCTTTATAAATTATGTAATCTTTTGGACAGAATCTATGTACATTGTATATATGCAATTATCCTGTTAATGTATGTTTAACTTACAACAGCTGCGTTAAGATTAAAGCCTACTCCATAAGGTATTAGGGCCTGATTTCCCAACAAGATGAGTGTCTGAAACTCTCATTCATTTCAATGAGATTTGGGTTTCTGAGCAGACTTACAAAATAGTCTCATGTCTTTTCATTAACTGAGGACAGAGCATAATTAGTGAATTAAACACAAGAAAAGTGAAGTAAAAGAAGGGATTTGAAATCAATTGTTTTAATTTAAGAACAGATCAACATTTAAAATAATTTACTCCTCTTTATTATAAATCAATTAAAAGTTGCTACATTAATACAAAAATATTCCATAGGTATAATTTGATTGTCACTGTATGCATAATTCAAGAAACAAAGGCATACCTTCTGATTTTTCTCTATCTCGTTTCGCATTTGCTGGTTAACAGGAATTCTGGTCAAAGATCTGTAGGAATAAAATACTGGTATTATTCAGACATTCTACATTTAAACAAATGTTCTTCCATACATAATGTATGTTATTTTAAGGAGTACAGTGAGCAGCTTTAAAAAAAAAACCAAATCTAAAGCTGCTTCAATATCTAAGATATTATTCCACCTTCTTTATGTTAATTTTAGGGTGTACCTAGCATTTTGTACATACTGAAGTTACAAAAGTTTCCAAGATATATCATCTTAGTCCATAATTTCAAATGTAGACGTTTAAGTTAGTTATCTCCATATCTAGGCAATTAAATCAAAGTGGTCTGAAGTTCTTAATTCTGACCTTAGGCCACTGGAAAATGTTATTAACAACCACTTATAAAGGTAGTCTAGGCATTAGATAATGTATTTGGGGACTGAGCCACCTAAATTATGTTTCCAACTCATTTCGGCAACTCAAATTACCCATCTAAAAAATGGTAACAACACACACATAACAGGGCTTAATTAGCATTCCAACATGCTTTGGAATCTCTGCAGGAGATGCTCTATAGCAAGTTCAAAGTATTATTAACAGTGGATATCTTTACTTAAATTAAATTTCTCCTATATCTGCAGCAACCATATTTTGCCCCCTTCATCATTTAAGAAAGTTGTTGAAGGTCTTATCAACTTTATTTCATGTATGTAAATATATGCCTCCAAAAATATAATCCATCTCCAAGAAAGACCACTGGAGAAAGTGTAGGAAGCACATTATGCTGCCTCAAGAGGTTGTTAGAGGCTTTCAAGCTGATTTTTTTTTCCAAGGACAAGCAAAGCTTTCTTGTTAAGATTTAGCTGACAGAAAAAAATCATGAACCTGTTCTAGCACTCAAGAAAAGGATAGATGAATTAGTATAACATTAATATGGTGGCGCCCGGGAACATGCAAATGAAGTCCGGGATATTTAAATCCTGGGTTTCATTTGCAAGTTCAAATGACTACATTAGCCACCCTAGTTCAAACTAGGGTGGCTAATGTAGCCATACCCTAATTGTGAGAACAAAACAACTTAAAGCCTCAATAGCTGCAAGGGGTACAGATGAGCTTTTTGTTTCCTTTAATTTAGCTTTTTCTTATTCAATGCTTTCAGATAATACATTTCTAAGGAAAGAAAATGATGGCAAGACAACTCTAAGGAAGGCACTGTCCTATATGAGACAAGAATAAAATTGGAAAAACAGAAATGAGAGCTACAGAGAACACAAAATTTCCAGCTAGTAATTAGTTATCATTCCAACTGTTAAAGAAAGTGAGGAGTAGAAACTCAGGGTCTATTATATCATAGAGAGCTAGAAAAATACAGACTAGATTGTGGTTTATAAAGGTATTAATATTAGTAAATATTTGGGATGATCTGAATACTTATTCATGCCTTCACATCTCATGAATAATACAGTCATCCTCATAAAACTTTTATAACCTCAGAACCATAAATATCTCTATGCACACACAAATACACTGAATATCCTACTATAAGTATCAACTGGTATTTTTAAAGTATAAACTTTGAATGCAGAAGAGCAAAAATGGAAACAAGATAGAAGGATTTTTTTCAAAAATGCAAACATATATAAATGAAGAATTATAATAAAGAAAATATAAGCATAAGGATTCATAAGAAAAATTAAGTGGTTTAGAAATGCCAGCATAACACCCAATTGAGAAATGAAGAACAAAGATTAGGGGGAAAAAACATCATTAAGCTAAAGCCTGAAAGCAATTGGCTCTGAAGCAGAGTTTTGAGAGAGCCTGATACAAGCAATAAGCATCATTTAGAAACACTGAGCTTATATAACATCTTCTCCATCATAAAGTATTTCTATAATTGATCGACATTATTACTGAGAGTTAAATTGGCCAGAGGAATAATTTAGCCACTAAATAAGTAGGATGTACTAGGCTAAAAAACTGTGTGATGTATAATCATCAACACAGTACATACCATTCTGGCCCTGTATCAATATTTTCAGTCTTGGAGGAGCGAGTCATTTTTTAAGAAAAAGTAATTTGGTTCTGTGTGAATCAGACTACATTTGGCATTGTTTACAGTTCATTATATTATTATTTGTATTAAATTAGCTCATACAGGCCTCAATCAGAATTAGTGCTCCGTCATGCAGGGCACTGTGTAGATACAAAACAGAACGGGAACATAATTTTGGATGTGTTATCTCCAATGCTTAAAAGGATTTTTTATAGTAAGATAAGTGAATAATAAATTACTAACTGTCCCTGTGCCCAACCATTGTTAGCCATAATGTCATGTTTTTGGAGGAGGCAGGTTATGAAAAAATGTGAAGGGGAGAGGATAGTGGAGGACTGAGGAGAACATTGTATGAATAAAATAACAAGGAGTCCTGAGGCACCTTAAAGACTAACAGATTTATTTTGGCATAAGCTTTTGTGGGCAAAAACTCACTTCATCAGATGAATGGAGTGGAAATTACAGAGGTCTCCACTCCATGCATCTGACAAGTGATGATCTGATGAAGCCTGGAAAATCCACCAATCCCACTGAGAGAAACAGGACCATACCCATGAACAAAGTTATTCACATATGTAAGGATACGTCTAGACTACAAGCCTCTTTCAAAAGAGGCTTTTTCGAAAGATTCTTTCAAAAAAGCCTCTTTCAAAAGAGAGCATCTAGACTGCAACCTCTTCTTTCGAAAAAGTGAGCCGCTTTTTCGAAAGAGAGCACCCAGAAAGTCTGGATGCTCTGTTTCGAAAAAGCCCTGTTTGCATTCAAGAACGGCTTTTTTTGAAAAAACACTTTCAAAAAAAGGCGTTATTCCTCGGGAAATGATTACCGCCATTGAAAGAAAAGCCGCGTTCTTTCGATTTAATTTCGAAAGAACGCAGCTGTAGTCTAGACACAGTTGAAGTTTTTTCGAAAAAAGGCTACTTTTTTTGAAAAAACCCTGCAGTCTAGACACAGCAAGTGTCTGAAGGATTGAACCCTTAATTTATAAAGGTCTCCATGAACCAGACGGAAAATCATTAAGCTCAGTCCTTCTAACAGTTACTCTTTTAACTGAAGTCACTTGGACTCCTTCCTAGAGTAACTGTACAAGACCATGATTATCTGTTTGCAGGATTGCACCCAAATCTCTAAAATATTCATTAAATTCAAACACAAGCATAAATAAATAAACAATTGATACTCAATAATAAACAATTTTGTCATACCTGGCCTTTATTGGGAAGTTCTGAGAAATGCCTTTAATTACCTTTAAGACATTATAAACAGGGGTGGAGAAAATTTGAGAAGCTGCTTGAAAACTTAAATCTGTAAGAAAAAAATATCACTGGAGAACGCAACTATAAATCAACATAGTTTATATTTTGTAAAAATCAACACATTTGCAGAAGATAAGGTTTTTCCATTTAGGGTGTTTTAAATCTGAGAATATTCACAAATAATGAATATGAACTTTTTTTTCAATGAACTTTTTATCAATGTAGGAAAAATCTTTTATCAGTTATTACAGAAAGCAACACACATTCCTATTATATAAACTTTTCAATTCTATTTAAAGAATTCTAATTTTCTCTAAGTTTTACAGTCAACTTCTCCCATTTGATAGGTGTGATAAAAGTAATCGATTATATGTTACAATACCTGAAAATACCTCAGACTTACTTCTATGAAACATTACTAAAAACAGTAAGAGGGAAAACTACAGTTCTACAATGATTTATAATTCAATTCAAACTGCATTTCAGGCACAGATTATCCCCCTGCAGGTCATCAGTATGGAAGCTTCATAGAAATTAATATCTTCACATCTGTTCTCCCATTCTCTTTTGTAAGGAAGTTTTTAATAATGTGTGTTTTTCATTTGACGTTTCATTTTAAAAACTTGTCAGTGAGACATACAATGGTTTTATAATAACCCCAGAATTTAAAAAAAAAGACAGAACCCAAGATGTGTTTCTCTGTATTTTACCTGGATCTGATTGTGAGGATGAGGTGCTATTTTCTGTCTGACTTAACATTAATAGAAAAGTTCAGAAATCAAATGTACCAAATTAATGCCCCCGGTTTTCTATAGTGTAAAATGTTTGAAACTTTCCTTTAGTTTGTTACTACTAAAATAATAAGAACAACATCAAATTAATGTTATTTTAAAAATACTAACCTTTCCAGGAAAGGTGAACTCTTCAGAATGAATGGATTACTCACCTTGTGACTGGAGTTCTTCAAGATGTGTTTGTGATTCTGTATAAAAAAGGTACAGGCAGTCCCCGGGTTACGTACAAGATAGGGACTGTAGGTTTGTTCTTAAGTTGAATCTGTATGTAAGTCGGAACTGTCGTCCAGATTCAGCCGCTGCTGAAACTGACCGCCAGTTCTGACTTACATACAGAATCAACTTAAGAACCCCAGGCGTCCCCAAGTCACAAGATGTGTTTGTGATTCTGTATAAAAAAGGTACAGGCAGTCCCCGGGTTACGTACAAGATAGGGACTGTAGGTTTGTTCTTAAGTTGAATCTGTATGTAAGTCGGAACTGTCGTCCAGATTCAGCCGCTGCTGAAACTGACCGCCAGTTCTGACTTACATACAGAATCAACTTAAGAACCCCAGGCGTCCCCAAGTCAGCTGCTGCTGAAACTGATCAGCGGCTGATTCCAGGAAGCCTGGGGCAGAGCAACTCTGCCTCAGGCTTCCTGTAGTCTAATTCAATTTCCACCCACTTTTCAGCTAGATTTCAGAAAGTGAAATTTTGCTTGCCAGCTGAACTTTATCATTTTGATACTTAGTTTTCGTTGAATTTTTTAAGATACCTTTAGGAGCCAGATTGCAGGGATGAGGCATGACTTTGTTCCATTTACACACGGCATGACCTGTTCAGGCCTTTCTTAGTAAGCTCACATGAGCCCACATTCCAGGGTGGAAGATCTCTTTTTCATCCTTAGTATCAAATTCTGTTGTGCTATCTATCCAACCTGCTTATATGTCTCAGTATGGGTCAGGTATGGGGCCTTTGGGTATGCTGGCTGCTTTGGTAATATTTGTTAGACTATTTTGGGGTTAGTGAATTGCTTGTGAGCTGATCCTGGTTTTCTTCTAATGTCTCCATTATTCACAAGCATTCACTTACCAGTTGAGAGCAGTTGTTTTCAAGGTTGTTCATGAATAGTTTGTTAAATATTTACCATTAGTTGGTCATCTAACTCACATGATTTCATTTCTGAACCTTGATTTGTTGAATGAATCATTTTTGGCAGGCATAACATATGACAAATAGCAGATATTGAATAAGTGCTGGAGACGGTCTCCAGCAGACCAGGGGCACCGGAGCAGCTTACGAACGGGGCTCTCTCGCCCCGGAGATCGCAGGTAACAATCCGCTCCCTCGACCTCCGGGGCGAGAAAGCCCTGTTCGTAAGTGCGGATCCGACATAAGTCGGATCTGCGTAAGTCGGGGACTGCCTGTACTGCAATACACTGGTGTAGTCACCACTTTTACAAAATTGTGATAAATCTTGCACTAAGTATGCCTTGTGAGCTATCATTGGAAAAGTTGTGGTCTGCTGGATGTTACTGTCATATTATAATATGTGTATTTACATTGTGTCTGGAGTTATGAGATTTTTCTGCATGCCTGTAACTCAAACATGTTGTAAGTCTGAGAAATGCCTACAGATTAACTCTCCTGTAATGATCCTACTAATCAGTCTCAGAGACATCTCATATTAACACATTCTACAAAGATTATATAGGTAAAATTTGCAATTCAAATGAAGGGCTGGTAACTGAGTACCTCCTTGCTGAAGTTGTTTCACCCAGTACCTAAGCAAGGAACTCCTTGACCCCATGTCACAGCCAGGATTTTTACAGAAAAATGGTCAAGATGAAAAAAGGGAAACCTTTTGGTACCTCTTACATACCACAGCTCTTGACTGATGAATTCTAACAAGGAAAAATCTGAACAAAAGACTGAGGTCTCCAGTATTCTTTGCATAAACTACAGAGACTTATAAAAAACCCACCATCTCTGCTAGCATTTTGCATTTACAAACTCTAATTAATCTGAAATATATTTTACCTGAATTTAACGTCAAATATCTAACAAAAAAGATTAGAGTTAACAAACTTTAGTTTACTCAAATAATTAGCTGGCAGCGTTATCTTTGGTGAGATATGAAGCGTACCTTGACTTAGGGTAAAGGGTGGCTCTTTGGAGCCAGGTGTAACCTAAGTAGTGGTGATTTTAGTTCTAATAGTCTTCCATCACATAAATACAGTTGATCTGGATGGAAAAATAGGCTGGTGTACCTAAAGGGACTTGCAAGTAGCTTCATGGGAAAAGACTGGTATCTTCCGTAACTGGTGTTCTTTGACATGTGTTACTCATGTCCATTCCAAGTTAGGTGTGAGTGCACCGCTTGTATAGTCATTGGAAAACTTTTCCCTAGCAGGAATCTGTAGGTAGTAGGGGAGACCACTAGAGTGATGCCAGTATGGCAAAGTATATAGCCCCCTGCCAACTTTCCCCTCCCTCAGTTCCTTCTTGCCACAAGCTACTCCAGAGAGGAGATGGGAGGATTTTGAAATGGACATGAGCAACACATCTCGAAGAACACAAGTCACAGAAGTTACATAGCTGTCTTTTCTTCTTTAAGCGATTGATCATGTGCATTCCAAGTTAGGTGATTCCCAAGCTGCTATGCGGCAGAGGGATCAGAAATCACCTTACTGCTGTTTGCAAGTGCAGCAGCATCCCTAGCCTGATGTTGGATATCATAGCGAGACATGAATGTGGCTGCTCACCTAATGTCTTCGACAGGGACATGAGCAAGAAAGGCCATTGCTGAGGCCTTAGCCTGAATTGAATAGGTGGAGCTGGGACCTTTGCCAGGACATGGCATGTGCGAATGCAAGATTTAATCCATGAGGAGATCCTCTGGAAGGTGACAGGAAGCCCTTTTATCCTATCTGCTATGGTCACAAACAATTGGCTGGATTTCTTGTATGGCTTAGTGTGCTCCAGGTAAAATGTTATGGCACGCCTCACATCTAGGGAATGCAAAGACTGGTCCCCAAGTGGTAAGGTGAGGCTTGGGGTAAAACATTGGCAGGAAAATGTCTTGAGACACATGAAAATGGGAGACAGCCTTTGGGAGGTACGAACGGTGGGATCTAAGTTCTACCTTATCTTAAAAAAAACCAACAGTATGGGGGGGTTCAGACACTAATGCTTAAATTTCAGAAACTCATCTAACCAAAGAAATGGCCACAAAACAAGAAAGAATACTCACTTCGTGCACTGGTGTTCTCTGAAATGGGTGTCTCTGTGGGCACTCCACTGTAGGCGGTTTGGCACTCTGTGCTTAGAACTGGAACTTTTCATCAGCAATACTACCTCCCCCAGGTGGTAGTGCAAATGTGTCAACACACACACGCCATCAATTCCACATTTGTTCCTCTCTACCATGAAGAGATGTTGCAACTCGGAAATAGAGGGGAGGAGAGCAGGTCCACAGGGACACGCATCTCAAAGAACACCAGTTACAGCACAAGGTGAGTAATCTTTTGTTTCTTCTTCAAGAAGTGTCTCTGTGGGGGCTCAACTGAAGGGGTGTGTCTAAACTACACCCCTCTTTCAAAAGAGGGATATAAATTAGACAGATCAAAATTGCAAATGAAGCTGGGATTTGAATTGTTCGTGCTTCATTTGCATAATGGCGGCTGTGTGTTCTTTCGAAAAAGGGCTTTTTGACAGTAAAACTGCCGTCTAGAAATGAGGAGTATAAGATCTTTTGAGAAAGGAGTTTTTTTCTGAAAGAACTCCGTCTAGATGGCGGTTTTACTGTCGAAAAGCCCTTTTTCAAAAGATCCTATACTCCTCATTTCTGGCCGCCATTATGCAAATGAAGTGCAGGAAATTCAAATCCGGGCTTCATTTGCCATTTCAATTTATTTACATCCCTCTTTTGAAAGAGGGGTGTAGTTTAGACATGCCCTAGGTGATTACAGAGCAGCGCCCTCAGTCTGTGGAAGGAGGGGTTTCAGATGTGGATGGTGGACAGCAGTGAAGACCACCTGTGCGAAAGCAGGAAACTGCAAAGTGTAAGTATCTATAGTATAATGTTTTGTAAATGTACTAACTGATGCCCAAGATGCTGCCCTACAGAAGTCCTTGATGGGCACATTATGTAGTGAGGGAACATGTTGCCTGAGCTCAAAGAGTGAGCAGCTCAGGGTGTTAAGAACGAGACTGAGATCCCAAGAGACCGCTGCCAACTTTATAGGGGGAAAAATATTGTTGAGGACTTTTAG